GAATGCATCTATGTTTACCCAACAATATTGGAAAATATCGTGCAATTTCTATTTTATGGCCAAAATCTGAGTGGGACTGACTTGCGATTACATTTAACGTCAATGAGAAAAATAACCGCAAGTCAGTCACAATTCCATGGCGATGCTGCATTAGTATTGAACAGTAGAAAGATACAATGGTCCCTAAGAACGTTATTGAATATTTCTGGATTTGTTCCGCTGGTTCCAGAGCAATGGCCGGAACATATTCCGGTAAGTATGGGTATTCATCAGACCAGAGCTTTTCATAAACGTCCCAAACCCACCATGCGATAAATAAATTAACATGATAATTCAAAATTAAGATCAATAAGAGCCATGATGAGTGACCAGCACCATGTTGGCCACACCCGGACATGTTCCGGGTATTCCCGGGGAAGTGGTAATAAATCAAAATCCATCAAGCGATACATCAAATCACATGAGAATTCATAGCCATATCCATTGGCGGTCAAACTGAGTATCGTAAGATTTATATTGGCCACATCCGGACAAGTTCCAGATACCGTAGAGGAAGTGGACAAAATTTTAAGCTTAAAACTCATAAAAAATCGCTAAAACGAGCTTGATTTCCATTCTCTGTTGCAAAAACCACATTAATGACAATGAATATCGACAAAATATGCAGCAATGAATTTTCTGAACCTGAAAACTCACCGGTGATTTTTGAGCAGTTGAATTTTGCATCGCATAACTCATAGATGAACAAACTCACGCATGAGATTTGAGTATTTGAGTTTTTCCGAACACTGGTGCTGATGATTCAACGTAACAGGAATCCATGTGTGTAATTCAGATCTTAAAAAAACCTTCGAATAATTCCTTAGGTATCCCGTACGAATTGAGGCGATCTTGTTGAGTACCTTTAATCCACGTAACAGACCTCACCCCACAAAAATCTTGCATTATTGTGAGATTATTTTGAGAAATTAAGCGAGACTCAAAATGACCGAGTTCCAACAATAATATAAAGTTTCATGGAAAACGGAGAAGGTCACGTCTGATGTATTCTACAGTTGGCGTGCAAATACTCAGAGGGGTCCTAGAGTTCCCAAGAGTTCTAAAGGTTGCTGGAGATTGAGAAGTTCGTGGAGCCCTGAGAGGATATGTTATGAATGTTCTCAGAGTGGTGGAATTTCTTGGAGTTCTCAGGAAGACTAGGTGTTGGAGGATTATCCGGAGTTTTTGGAGTTCTGAGCGCTCAAAGTTCGAATAAAGTTCTGACAGAACTTTCAAGTTCCATAAAGTTCAAATAAAGTTCCGACAGAACTTTCAAGTTCCATAAAGTTCCGACAAAACTTTCTTCCCAAGAAGCCAAAAGTTCCATATTCAACAATAAAACCCACTTTCAAGTTCCATACAGTTTCGATGCGTACTCCTAGCAACTTGAAGTTCAAAAAAAAAAGTTCCAAAAAGTATTCCTAAGAAGCCCAATAGTTCGTTAAGTTATGGAAATATTGTTTATATGCTCCTACCGAGTGGGATTGATTTGAGGATAGGTATTAACTCTTCAGTCTTGGTATGGATCGAAAACTTTTTATTTTACTTTCGTTCGCCGTTTCGGTCCATAGTTCCAAATGGAAATATTGAACGTTGTTAGAGCATCAGCATTTTTCGAGGTTCTCAAGAATTGCGAAGATAGCTAACCCAAGTAACATTTCAAGTTTTATAGCGGTTTTATAGCATTCTACAAGTCTTAATCACGGTCTACAGAACCCTCAAAAAACCAAAATTGTTACTTGGGAATGATCGAACAGTTTCGGGAGTTAGGAGGTGGTCCAGATTTTTTTTAAATTCCCGTGGGATTGGAATTTCCCCAAGCCACAAGAATTTGAAACGCTCATGGAGCCACTAGTTCTGGATATTACCGGAATATAATTTAAAGACTTCCAGTATCTAGTTCTTGAATACTAGAAGTTCTAAATCCCCCCATTCTCTGTGAAATCTTGATACTCCAAGAACAGTGTGAAATAAGTTCCTAAAACTTCCGGAACATCAGGAACTCTCAGAAGTTGTATAACTCCCAAAATCCCAACTCTTGAAACTCATCAACCTCTTGAAACCATGGATTAGAAGATACGATGAAGTGCTGAAACGGTGGAATAGCAAAATTTTGACATGAATAAAAAAAAATCTGAACCAAGTTTTTTTTGTTAAAGTGACCTCACCACATTTTGGAACATTCGTGACCTGTCCGGGATCTGATTTGAACTCGTGACTCTTTGCGTGAGAGATATGGATTCTAGCCACCGAGCCTGTCCCCACTTTACGGGCTCTCATGGCAGTGGATCTTCAACATGGACCGGAATCCGCTCTGGGTCATAGCAATAACAAGCAACAGCCCAGAAAGAAAATCTTGGCCATTTGTAAAGGAAACTAGAGTGAGTGACTTCCTTAAATATCGAAAATGTGGATGCTGGACGGGAAACTTTTCCAAACTTGCAACTCCAAAGAACATCAAAAACTCTCAAAACTCCAGAATTGCCGGAGCTTTAGAAACTTCCAATACTAAAGAGAAGAATTTTCGGAACAACAGAACGTCCTGAAGGTGCCGTAAAATCTCGAAATTATCGAGACTTTGAGGGCTCACAGAGTTTGATAGTTCCCGAAGCTTCGAGAGTTTAGGAAGTTTCGCATGATGTTCTCGAAATCACTCTGCCGGATGCTCGAAACGTTCAAGCGCTGCAGGCTCCAAAACGTGTGGTCATTCCGTCTGAATCAACATTATCAGATTCACTTGTGTGTCAAATGGTGAGGTATTTCTATTCTAATTTATCTACGTATTATTATTACAGTTATTAGTGTCCATGGATGCCTGTGAAAATCGGGTCAAATCCGATACAGTTTTCGTCGTAGAGAGGAATCCTTGGAATCACTGAATCCGCAGGCAATTTTAGTAATAGAATTTACGTGCTGTGATGGCTCCTTGCAGTCGTCTAGTAGCGATCATTAAGCTTGCAGATCAGAATATTGTGGGTTCAATCCCAGGCTGCTTCTTATTATAGAAGTCCTCTTAGCATATGCCGGGCTTGTGGTTTGTTGCGATGTATGGAGCTTGGTGGCCTAGTAGCGACCGTTTTTTGTACACTGAGCAAGAGATCTCTAAACAGAAATACATGATTTATCAAATCGTTCAACAAAACGAATCCTACCTCATCCCTTCCGCAAGTACAGAGGACTACTCGGCTTCCAATAAAAGCTTATTGCGCCAACAATTTCCTTCCCTCTCCGCGCCGGAAAAAAACATGAGATCACTAGCATTTGGCACATTGAGGATGAACACTAGCTTTAAGCGTCATATATCGGTTCTCTGTGCAATAACGGCTAACTTGTTAAATCGTTGTTGAATCATGCTCGTCTTCAGGAGTTACTAAAGCTGTTGATTCGTCGGAATACGGGATGCCTTTGAAATCCCTGGCGTTTCAAAAGTTGAGAAAATTTCTACACAGTAAATGTTATGGAATAAGGACTGGTAGAGTAAACATTCAAGTGTGAAAACTTGTTTTTGATTTCACTCAAGCTACACGGCCGCTGAGACTGACTTAGCGAGAGAGTTACTTTTTCTCAAATGTACACATTTAGAAACGATTACCGACTTCCGTAATTTCTACATGCATTTTAATTCATTAGTTTAGCAACAAGGAAAACCTCACCACAATGTCAAGACTCGATTATTTAAACAAGATTGACAGTGTTTAAAAAAAATAAAATTCAGTGAAACAACTTTTGAAATGAGTGTCAAGGTTTCACCGAAGTTCGATAAAAAATTACCGAAGTCGGTAATAATTTCTAAGTGTGTACGACAAATTCCTAAAAACCAAGGTAACTCAACTGGAATGTTACTTGGGATTACTAAACCACCTTCTTTGGTTCAGCATGCGCTCGTAGTATTGCTACACTGATAAAATGATTTTTCATTATTTATCAGCAACCATTTTTGGTTATCAAGTCACACACTCACATTCGCTCCAATTCAGATCGAGAAAACATTAACTTTTCCATAATCATACAAACTAAGGATCTACCAATGGGGTGAAATACTCTACAGAATGATATATGTTATGCAAATAATAATTCAACTTTGGAGGAAACTTAGAACCCTAACCTCAAACTGCGCTAGCACACTACCGAAATGAAGGGTGAAGAGAAAACAGCAAAGTGTTACCGGATAATAATATTTGCAACTTTAGATACTTGAAATATTTCAAAACAAACGCTAACTTAAATGATACAGGTAGAAAAAAGTGGGTGTTTGTGTAAAACTGAATCCAACGAATAATGCAACCGAAAGCACAGTGCCGGTTGTGGAACGAATGCAAATACAGTTTTTTTTTGGTCTAAAAAAAAAAAGTTGGGTGAATAATACAAAGTACACTGAACAAAATCAAGCTCGTAATTCGAAACAGGAACTGTGTGTATCTAAACGTTAAACAAAATATAATATTTTATTTTATTTTTTGAAAATTTGTTTTTCATTACGTTTTGGATCTCGAAATTTTTCCATTTTACATTAAAAATCTGGGAGAAGAGAGCAAATTCAGGAGAGAGAAAAAAGAAAGAAAAAAGAGAAAAAATCTGCTGTTTTAAAGAGACCAACCATCAGTGTTCGGTGAGTGAGTGAGAGAGAGAGAGAGAAAAAGTGGGCGAGGGCGAGTGGATTCTACACTGAAGTGAAGAGAGTGAAGTTGTTTGTTCATTGTGGGTGGTTTATCGGTGGAGTAAATGGTAAGTAACGAAAGTATAAACGGAACTACAAACATGAGAAACCAACAAAAAAATAACTGAAACTAGATAATAAAGAAAATAAAACTATGAGAAACAACAACACAAACTCAGGACAACGAATGAGATGGCGCAACAGTAGAAACGTCACTGTTTTCCACTGTTTGACTTCTAGAGACCAAAAGAACGCGATGAAAATTGTGAGAAAACGAAAGATCGAAAGAAACTTCAAAACTTACCCTCTTGATCAGCGTCCGATCGCTCTGGGCGTCGTCATCGTCCGGCGTGGGTGGCAGTGGCCGGTTCGGAGGTCCACCACTGGGTGGCGAGAGCACACTACTGTTGCTACCGCCGGGTGTCGTGGTCGTCGTCGTAGTCGTCGTCGTCGTCGTCGTCGTGGACGATTGGTTGTTCTGGTCGGACTCGGCCAACACTCCTAGTCCACCGGGCCTATAGGAGAATTCGGGACTGAACATAATGGAACCAAAACAAAGGAAGAAGAAGAAGAAGAAGAAAAAGCGAAACGAAAGAGCAGAAGGGGCCGGGAAGAAGAAAACGGCAAGAAACCAAATGGGAGATGAATGTGAAAGAATAGTAAATGGTCAACGAAAGAAAGGTTAAGAGAAAAAACGGTTTGGTTCGAAAAACCGGAATTTTGATGAAAGTAGGTAAAAAGAAGAAGAAGAAGAAGAAGAAGAGAAGAAGAAGAGAAGAAGAAGAAGAGAAGAAGAAGAAGAGAAGAAGAAGAAGAGAAGAAGAAGAAGAGGACGGACACAAAAAGATGAAATTGTTAGTGATGACATGATGACACAAATGAATCTTAGCTGTTAATTGTTATGAATTCGTTGGATGTTACTTAACTCTTCTGTATATATTACCTATTATGAATTAATATATTAAAACAGAAATATGCTTTGATTTTTGAAGTCTCCTCATCACACATTGATTAAAAGTGCAGGGTTCTAATAATAAAAATTTCAGACTTTATTGAATGAAATAAAATTAAATAAAGATTAAATAAAGTTCTGTATAAAATAAGACGGTAAATTGTTTGAAGCTTATAGAATTCTGCCTAAGATTTTATGGGGCAAATCTAGAGGTCTTAGGAGTTAAGTCCTTAGAACTTATTGGACAACTTCAGAGGCCTTACGGGTTGACTACACAAGGTTTATGCGAGATATTATGGGTTGACTTCAGACACATCTAAAGATTATTCTAGATATCTCGTTAATCAACCTCAATGCTCTAATTATCTTTATTAATCAACTCCGGAGGCCTTACGAGTCATCATTAGAGGAGAGCAGTCCCAGGCCACATAGCGAAACATTAAACACATTTTTGTATTTACCTCTCAGAATTCGCAGAAGCTTCGCATAACTAGGTCAATGAACCAAGTTTGTGCCGGCATTCGGCCATTTTGACTCACGCCTAATCTTTCAAAAGGGCATATTCGCTATTTTTCCATAAATCACAGCACGAAAACGCCTCATTTAATCGAAATGAGGTCTGAGTCAAAGTTGTAACGAACTGGATTTCTTTTCAGAAACCAAAAATACCCTTCCGAATAAAATTTAAATTTATGTAAAAAAAAAAAATACAGTTTATTATAATTTATACATGACCAATCCAGGCCAAATAGGTTAATCAAATAAAAACTTAATTCCGATTTGCATAATTATTATTATTTTAATTAATTAAAAAACTTCTCCGATTTGCATAATTATGTGTTACAGATATTCATTCACAATTTTGAAAAAATCGGTCATTTTAGATCTTTTATTTTTTTTCAAAATGGCGTCTTCGACATTTTTTCAATAAATTGTAGCACTAAAACGTCACTTCTCATCGAAATTCGAAATTAAGTCTGATACAAAGTTGTTAAGAAAAGTATAGTAATTAAAGACTAAAATATCTCAAAAAGTATATCTTCAATATAAACATTTATTTTTTTAATAAAGCTTATGAAAAATACAAAATTTTAGAGTATTTACAACCACTGACGCTTGACAATTGCCAGAAATCGTATAACATCAAGTTCAAATATTTGACCAAAAGTTTTTGCTCAACAATCTTAGTAAATTTTCAAGTGTCCATTATTTAAAATATTTCAAAGGTTTGTATTTTTACGAGTTAAAAAAAAGGAAAATTTAAAAAAAATTAAGATATAATTTTTGAGATATTTGAGTTTTTTTTAAGATTTTACTCAAATTTACTAAATAAAAATACCATGCATATTTTTTTTCAGAAAGAGTTCATTTGTCTCTACAACTTTGTCTCAGACATCATTTCGGTCAGAAGTGATGGATTCGTGCTACAAATTATTATAAAGTTACAAAGACGCAAAATGAAAAAAAAAATTGCAACATCCACAATGGCTGAATTTTTGTAAAAATGTGAATGATTAGCATTAGCATCAGCATTATTGACCGCCCACGGTTGCTACTCTGTTATTACCAGATCAGCTGCAATTACACAGAGAACCAACAGATGATGTTTTTGTAAAAATGTGAATGATTGCCCATAAAAAACAATTATGCAAAGTTTCATGCAAATCGGAGAAAGTCGAGTTCTTCCGATTCGTCAATTGGCCTTGAACTGCTGTTTAAGAAACTTAGCTAGTCCAGGAAACTTTGATGAAGTTGAGAAAATATTCTAGAAGTATAGGAAGCTTTGTAACTAGATGTTCGTAGATAAGAGTTATAGGATATTCGTACACGTTCAGCAAACTTGATACAAATTTAGTGAACTTCCAAACTATTAGGAAAGTTTGTATTAGCTATGGAAACATCGTAGAGCTTTAGGGAGCTTCATAGAGGTGGATAATGGATTTTTTGTTTGTTTGAAAGCTGACCACAAAGGATATTTCAAAATTGATTAAAATTTTAGAACATAAACTTTTAGTAAAATTTATGAACTTCTTTTTCACGTAATTATCCATTTGTCCATTTCAGAAAAGTTAGAAATTTTAATAAGTTTTCAAATAAATATAAGTTTAAAAATCATAAAAATGTAACTTTTATGTTATTAACCGTTTTATTTTTATTTTTTGACGGAAGTTTTTTTATTTTTTTTAAACGCAATACAGTTAATTTCAGAGACTGTACGGTGTAAGTCTAAAAACGTAACGCGGGTAGATCACCTCTCCGTGGTGCGTTACAGTGTAAAATCTACCACATCGGACTCTGTTGAGGGTTATGGGCCTCGTCTTTGGGCGTTTCCGAGCCATTGTTTGCAAAAGTACTAATAGCCTGTTGAGATGCTTAGGAGACCTCGAGAAAAGAATTGACGAACCTCGGATGAGCTCTTCGGAATATCCAAGAGAACCTCCGATGAACATACGAGAACTTTAGGGTAACCTCAGAGTAGTTCAGTGTACTTCAGAGATGTTCGAAGAACTTCAGATAAATAGCGAGAATTTTCGAAATCAAAGTAGAAGTTCAGTGATATTTTCGGGATCTTACAGAAGTTTAGGGCACTTCCAAAAAGACCAGGAACTTTTCGGAAGTTATAAAAAGGAGCCAGGGTATCTTGGAGCTCATTGAGGCATACCTTATTGAAGTTTCCGAAACTTACCAACGAACTTCAAATTTCAGTTTAAAAATCATCCCTTGAAAGATCTCCAAACTTCTAAGAACGTCCTCACGATTAGTTCGATTAACACCTACAAACCAAAAATGCGAGTCGAATTTCTATGAACACCATAGCATTCCAAAGAAGTGCAGCGAAATTCAGAGAAGATCAGGGAATTCTACTGTAATGAACCTCTGAAAGACTCAAAGGAAGCCTTGTAGAATCTAGGAAAGGTTCGCCAGAGACGTCCATGTCAACCTCAACGAAACTCAAGCCAATTTAACCTTTTTTTGGTCTGGAAACATTGTGTATTTTTTTCCTAAAGCATTACCCAAGTAACCAACAAGCCCGCTAATTCGCCTTTTTGCAATATAAGGCTAATATACGTCTAATATAAAGCTTAGCATGCCCTTTGTTAGCCGTGTATCATTATATTGCAAAAAGACGAATTAGCGGGCTTGGTGGTTACCTAGGTAGGAAGGTCAAACAAGTGCAAAGAAATCTGAATGAAGTTTGAGGTACTTAGGTACTTCAAGGAAGCTCAAAGAGCTTCAGAAAAGTCCAAGGAACCCCGGAGAAGTTTGGTATTCTTGAATAGAAACAGGAAACCTCAGAGAATTTTAGTGAACCTTAGAAAAACTCGAGGAATTTCAAATAATTTTAGAAAACCTCAGAGTTCAGTGTAATTTGAGACTGTTTAGGAAACTTCAAAAAGATCAGCGAACTCCAGACATGCTTTCTGGAACATGAGAGAAGTACAATGAACTTCAGAGTAGATCAGGAAACTTTCAAGAAAGTTGTAGGAAACATTATGATTTAGGGAACCTTTTATAAATTAAGTGAATTTCAACCATCTTAAGATCGTCAGTAAACAATATGAAATTATTAGGCACCTTGAAGTTCATTGGAATATTTTTCAAAAAAGATCCACGAAGTTTACCTCAGTTAACAATCATTCATTCGAAGACCTCCAAAAAAATCAGACCATTCCAATGATAAGTTTCGATTTACTTCCATAAAACAAAAACACGAGCCAAATTTCTAATAATATCAGCGAATTTCAGAGAAATTCTGTGAACTTCAGAGGAAGTCTTAACTCATCCCTTAGAAGATCTTCAAACTTCTCATAAAATCGAGAAAATAAGTACAATAAAAAAACCAATTGAATTTTACAGAAGTTCAGCAACGTTGAAAAACTCAAAAAGTCTTAGAGAAGTTCATGAGAAACTCAGAAAGATTCTTCAGAATTGTCTAAGTCAACTTTAATTCAGGGCAATTTTAGTTCAGGAAAATCTCATACAAGCTTTGGAAACTTTTAAGTAAAACAAAAATAATGCCTCAGAGAACTTCAGGAGACATTGTAGAAATTAGAATAATTTCATGGAAACTCAGAAAGTATAGTGTACTTCAGAGCTGCTTATAGCTATTCAGGAACTCGAAAATAATTATAAAAATAAGAGAAGTGCAGTTAAGATGAGAGAATTTCAAAAAAGTTGCAATCAATGGAATTGAAACTCTGGGCACCTTTTCAAGTAAATCTCAACGAAATTGTGTACACTTCCGTAAAGTTTAGGAAACTCTGGTAAAGCACGAAAAAGGGTTCTGAAAGACTCCTGGATCGCGAATGTTTCGATAGATATTTCTCCTTGATTTTTCCAAAAAAATGTCCACAAATTTAACCAAACTTCCACGCTCAGCTAAACATCATTACTTGGAAGATCTGCAAACAAATCAGACCATCCTCATGATGAGTTCAATTTACTGTCTTAAACCAAAAACACAAGGCAAATTTTCAAATAATATCGGCGAATTTTGTAGAAGCGCGGAAAGATTCTTCAGTGACATTCAAGTTAACCGCAACGAGACACAAATGAAACTTAAAATCAGTGTTCACTCAGCTGCCGACAGAAGCAAGCCGCTCTCGATGTGTGTCACGCGATCTTCTGTTTACTCGGCAGCAACCATTTTGAGGTCCTTGTCATTGTTCTTCATGAGCAGTCCTTTCGGTCGATGTGTCGTCGACTTTGGAAAGCAACCGTTTCGTGATAAGTGTGTGAATGATGACTACGTTTTGAGTCCATTGCTGCGATACTGCCATGCAATGAAACCATTGGAAGCGGATCCCGTTCTGATGGAGGAGGCTTATTGGAAAGCGGAAGATAAAGTGTTTATTGTGTTGTACCTTATGAATATATTTTTACGAAGGTTTGTATAGAAGTATCACCGGCTCTGTAAAGTTAATTCGTTTGAGCCTTATTTAATAAATTAGTAAACAACTCAGGGTACTTAAAAGAAGTCCAGAGAAATTCAGAAAAGTTCAGGGAATCTCAGAGAAGGGTTGGACACTTAAAGCAAAAGTAGGAAACCTCACAGAGCTTCAATGAACTTTACAGAAATTCAAGAGAATTAAAATAACTTAAGAATATAGTTTTACGACAGTTTGTATAGTGAAGAAGTATCACCGGCTCTGTAAAGTTAATTCGTTTGAGCCTTATTTAATAAATTAGTAAACAACTCAGAATACTTAGAAGAAGTCCATTGAAATTCAGAAAAGTTCAGGGAATCTCAGAGAAGGTTTGGACACTTAAAGCAAAAATAGGAAACCTCACAGAGCTTCAATGAACTTTACAGAAATTCAAGAGAATTTAAATAGTTTAGTGAACTTCAGAGCTGTTTAGAGAACTTTAAACAGATCATCGAACTCCAGGTAAGTTTTTTGAAACATCAGTTCAGGAAAAATAAAAAAGTTCAGGGAACGTCAAAATAGTTTTAGATACTTTAAATAAAAACAGAAAACCTCATAGGCCTTCCGGATATCATAGAGAAGTTCGAGGAACTTCAAATAGATTAAGTATATTTTTTAACTGCTTTTTAGTATAATTTAGAGGATACTCAATGATCTCCAGACAAAGTTATAAAACGTCTGACACATGTTGGAAATACGAGAAAAGCTTAGTGTATTTTATAAAAGTTTAACGAACCTTCAAGGAATCTCAAGAAAACACTGAAAGCTCAGTGGAAGTTTTGAGAACTCTAGGTAGCTTAAACAAAAAACACGAGTCAAATTTCAAATAACAATGAAGTGAAATTCAGAGCAAGAAACCTCAAAAAGCCTCATAAAAGCTTTGTAGAAGCTCGGAAGGATCCTTCGGTGACGGCCAAGTCAACCGTAACGAAGCTCAAATGAAACTAGAGGTTGTTAGAAGAAAAAGGGTGTAAGTGACTTTGATCGATTTTCCTCATCGACTTTCTCTTTTGATAGCCACAGCTTTATAAAAAGATTTTGCGCTATTTCTGCCACATAGTTTGAAAAAGGAGGTTCTCATCTAGCATCCGGAATAGCAAACGAATCAAGGAATGTATTTGCAGCTGAATTAATAACGAAAGAGAAAGTCGATGAAGAGAATCGATCAAAGTCAGTTATACCCCTTTCTATCTAACCCCCTCACTTAAAAGACGCTCAGGGTACTTAAAAGAAGCCCAGAGAACTTCAGAAAAGTTCAGGGAACCTCAGAGAAGGTTTGGAGTAAAAATAGGAAACCTCACTTCAATGAACTTAACAGAAATTCAGGGAATTTAAAATAACTTCAGGCAACCTCGGAGTTTAGTGAACTTCAGAGCTGTTTAGCTGTTCAGGGAACTTTGAAAAAATCACCGAACTCCAGATAAGTTTTTTGAAACATCAGAGAAAATCAGATAACTTCAGGGAATTTCGAAAAACTTCAAATAGATTAAGTATATGTTTTGATGACAGTTCAGTATCCTTTAGAGATACTCAATGATCTCCAGAGAAAGTTTGAGGAAACGCCTGACACTTTTTGGGAACACAACAACAAATCTTAGTGTATCTCATAGAAGTTTAAAGAACTTCATAGAAATTCAAGGAATCTCAGGAAAATACTGAGAGCTTTATGGAAGTTCCGGGTACTCTACGTAACTAGAAAAAATTACCCAGGAGAGGTGTCAGAACGTAACAATTATAATAATGATCAAACTCTCTGAATAGTAGGATCGTGCTCCAAAATACTCTTTCAGGATATGCAGTATTTTATTGATGGTAAGATACATCTTATAAGACTTCAGGATTTCTAGACTCTTCCAATAAGACCCACTAGACATGGGCCGCAAGATTTCAAGACTTATCCCTTAAGTCCTCTGAAGTTATATCAGTGATCTTACTGGGCATGTTCCACAAATCCACCGGACTTATCCTAAGAGACCTTTATGCGCTAACATATGGAGTCTCTTTAGTAAATCTGTGTTTTTAGAAGACTAGAGTTGATCTATCATTGGAAATAATCCATAAAACCTTAAGACTGAAACCATAGGATTTCTGAAATGATTCCGTAAGGTCGCCTAAGTTGACCCATAAGGCACCATAATAAGACGCATAAGTTCTCTGCAGTTAATAAGGTCCTCAGAAATTGTCCTGAGAAATCTGTATAAGGCGTCTGGATTTAACCTGTTTAAGAGTTGTTAATATATCTGAAGATGACCAAAAATATCTCTGACGTCACCTTAGAAATCAGAGGTTCACTAAAACTTCTCCTGCACTTCTTTGAGATTGTCTGAGTCTTTCAAGGCTAGCTGAACAACAATGGCTGTAGACGCTGTATTGCATTTCCATAATCTTATGTGATTTCTAAGGTTTAAAATTCAGGGAATTTCAGTTCAGTAAACTTCTCTGAACCTTCCCCAACTTCTGTTAAGTTCCCTAGACTTCTAATAAATATAAACCTTCAAATTTATTATGAAAATTGAATAACATATCTGTCATGTTTAGACTTGAGAGCTGTAAAGTATTGTTAGTTCGGATTTCGTAATATATTCTTGTTTCACAATTCTCCTGGTATCTTATAACAGTTTAAGCTAAGGTTTATTGATTTTTCCCGAGTACACGGTCGATCAGACCGTCTCAAAATTGAGTCGAGCCAACTCAATTTCGTCAAAAGTGGATTCACTCAAAAGTGAGTTGAATTTTTCGGGACGATAAAACACTACCGCCATCTGTTGAGTACACTGTCATGGGCAGTACGCTTAACAGATGGCGGAAGTGTGTAAACGTTAAACGCAAGGACATTGACTAAGCGCGCCACAGGCGGCGGTACTAACAACTAAGAAAAAATTGAATTGACCGTTAAATGAAATAAAATCCAGAAGAGTTAAGCAACATCCGTTTCTACATATATATGACCTAACACGATTACCTTGGAACAGACAAACAAATAATGATCACAAATCCTACTTACAGTGGCTTCGGCGGATCGCTGGCCAGCAGCGTACCGTCGTTCCGTGCCCGATCGTTCGGCTCCTCCGGTTCCGAGTCCGAGTCGGAACTCTCGATCGGATCCAGCGGGTTGATCGGCTGCGCGTGGTGATGGTTGTTGTTATTGTTAATACCGATGCCGATGCCGCCGCCGACGCCGCCACTGCTGCTGTTGTTGTTGCCGTTCGGGGCGGCGACGACGACCATGGGCTTACCGCTATTGCTGCTGCTGCCGCCACCACCACCGGATTGCTGGGACTGCTGCCGGTTGTTCCGTGGTGGGGCTTCCGGCTGCGCTTGCTGTGACTGTTGGGAGACGCCCAATTCATTTAGTTGTGCGGCTAACATGTCCAAATCCTATGCGTGGGTAGGAATTGGATTCGTGTGTGTGTGTGTATGTTCGTTTTTTCGGTTTTGTGTGTGTGTGGGTGTACGAATGTTGGTGTTGTGGATCGGTTGGGTTGTGGTGGTGGTGGTGGTGGTGACGTGAGGGCAAGAGGGGGTTGGACGGACAAAAGTGAACCGATTAGGAACTTGTGACTTTATTACAACTGTGAGATTTGACGGCAAACTCTTTTGCTTTGTTTGGCCTGATGAAAAGGGATTTTATTTGGCAAAGGAAAGATCATATTATACGTTTAAGCCAAATAATTTGCAGGAAGCAGTTAATCCAAACTCGGTAAGGCAGTTTAGTTGGATTTGGGAGTTTGCAATGCTTGCTTTTAGCTACTGGAACATTGAATTACAAACAACATTTAAATACGAAAAGCAATGCAACACGAGCAAAAGACGAAAGGGAAAATGGATTAGGTGAGATGAGGATGTTCAAGTGTGATTCGAATGATTTAAAATTGAAAATTTTCAGTGGTGACGTGACCGCCAACAGAAGCATTCCTAACTGATTTCGTTCATTTTTTAAATCATTTCAATGAAGGAAAGATGGGGTGAGATGCATCCCTGCGACAAGATGACTGTTTGCAAATTTTAAATATATTTTCAATGTATTTTCGAGCATTTATCATCAGACACTGCAATATTCCTTGACAGACCCTCGAAAAAGAGATAAAATAGGTATTTTGAATGCCAAAAAGTCATTTTGCACCGGGGGTGCATCTTGCCCCTTTTCACTATGTAGCTTTTATATGTTTCCACGTGCAATGAATGACGAATCGGTTCGTTAGATTTATGGAAAATTTCAGGCGAGTAAAAAGAAACAAGTAGAGGTACAGGTAAGGGTGAGGGGGGGAGGGGAATTGGAAGCTTTTATTGGCGAGAAATGTGGCATCTTGACGGAGGGAAGCGAAATTTCTTCACACGACTCGATGGATTCGGAAACGGAAAAAAGACGGAGAACGAAGCGAAAATTCAATCCCCAATATGCCAGCAGCTGTTTACAGGGTGACAACGAAGCCACGAAGGAGGAAGGGAGGGGGGGGGGGTTAATGGGAATGATGGATCGCGCTACATGTTAAATTGTTACATGAAGCCTTGCGGACCGGGCCCTTCAGATATGGATGGAATGCGACGGCGACGGTGAGATGTAAGTTGCACGGGGAACGAAAATATGTGAGTGGATGTGTAATGGTGGTGGGTGGAATGCATGTTTGGATGTATCTGGAGCGCGAAATTATTTTGGAAGGATTTTAACGGAAGCGAAACGGAATTTTAGATGGCAGCGTGAAATGGTGAGTGTGTCAGTCTGGGTGAGAGGCGAGACTTATTGGGGAAGGACAGCTTTAGCTTTAGCGAAATGTTTTTATCCGATTAGCGTGGTGTAATTGAATTTGTGTGCCTGTCCGGAAAGAGGATTACAATTTGGAGTGGCTTAAAGTTTTATGAAAAGTGATGTGACAACATGAGCAACATGAGGACTGATGAGCAACAGCTCTGTGTAGAAATTTGTTTTGGTAGTAAAATCATTTAGAAAGATAAAGATGGTTGTATCATTCCTTGGATCTCCAAGGTAGAGGTTAAGAGCTCTAGTTAGCGAATTTCTTTGCAAATATAGTAAGGGTCTGATTTGACAACACAACCTTTTTGGACTTATAAGCTTTCCATAAATTTTGATAATTGTAAATCTGATTATCTGATCACACCCCAAGCTTAACGAGTATCCGGAAAATCTAAGAAAAATATGACAGAGGATTTGGAGATAATAAAAGTGCAGCTAAAGGCGGAAAACAACTCCGCGCGGTGCATTGAACCACTTGCACAGTGGTCCAGAATGGGAGTTTAACCGGAATAGTTCTTTTCAATGTTGGAAAAGTATCAAAAAATCTAATCTCACCAAAGCCCAAGATCACGCTTGATTTTCGTAGACAAAAATCAACAAGCACACAAGTCCGGTTGATATTGCAAGCAGTGATGTCGCAGCTCGGAATATCAAGTTAACAAAACTCGCCATGGCCCAGCAGGTGGATTTGGCAACATCCGCATAACCAGAAACGGTTCCGGTATGGCTAAGCCTCATATACTGGTACCTTCCGACGGCTCATAATTTATTATTATCATTATCATATTGGGGCCTCCCTTAGCTCAATCGGTAAAGGCGCAGCTACAAAGCAAGACCATGCTGGAGGTTGCTGGGTTCGATTCCCGGTCTGGTCTAGGAATTTTTCTAATTGGAAAATTTCTCGACTTCCCTGGGCATAGAAGTATGATTGGACTTGCCACACAATTATACCAATGCAAAAATAGAACAGGCATCGAAAGCTCTCAATTAATAACTGTGGAAGTGCATCTAGAACACTAAGTTGAGAGCACGCAATATGCAATAAGCTTGAAATGCGAAGAAGAAGAAGAAGAATAAGAAGAAGAATAAGATACTGCCAGAAACGGTGCTGGGTATCCGGATGTGGCCATATTCACCTGTGTATTCGTGGCACGATGTCTATTTATTCCCGGATTTATTACAGAGAATTTTAGCCGTAAGCTAGTTCATCTCTTACTTCCGGATGAAAAATATTAAATTTTGAACCGTCGGACAGTACCAGTACATGAGGTTTTGGAAGTATTCTATTTGAGGCCCTGCTGGAACCGATTCTGGGTATCCAGATGTGACTAGATCCACCTGTCAGTCCATAGCATAATGTCTATTTACTTCTGGATGAAAAATCATAAATTTTGAGCCGTTGGACGATACCACTGCATGAAGGTTAGGAAGGGTCTTTTTTGGGGCACTGCCGGAACCGATGTATATATACTTAATTAAAAATCATGAAAGCCCTCGGACGGTACCGGTGCATGAGGTTTAGGATGTGTCCTATTTGAAGCCCTTCCGGAATCGAGTCTGGGAACCGGATAAGGCCAGATCAACCTATTTGTTCGTGGCATGATGTCTATTTAGTTTTGGTTTAAAAATCATGATTTTTGAGCCGTCGGACGATACCAGTATATGTTCTTTAAGAAGTGTCCTTTTTGAGCCCTAACGGAACCGGCTCCGGGTATCCGGATGTGACCAGATTCATCTTACGGTTCATGGCAGGATTTCTTTTTACATCTGGATGAAACATCATACCTAAGAGCCTTTAAAATTCTTTGTGTACTGTCGGACGGTACCAGTACATGAGGTTTAGGATGTGTCCTATTTGAAGCCCTTCCGGAATCGGGTCTGGGTACCGGATATGGCCAGATCCACATATTTGTTCATGGCATGATGTCTATTTAGTTTTGGTTTACAAATCATAAATTTTGAGTCGTCAGACAATACCAGTATATGAAGTTTAGGACGTGTCCTTTTTGAGCCCTACCGGAGCCGGCTCACACTGGGGCAGATCAGTGATTTTCTCGGAAAAAATTAATAACTTTTGAACAAAGCATCCAATCAGAATACTGTCTTGGGTAAAGTTGTTTGTATTAGTTAAGCGCTTCTTCTGAATAAATTAATTAGTTTGCAACTTGGTCGTAGAGATGGCGCGCGAATCTAACTTTTGAATAAAGCATCCTAGACGTATAGTGTTTTGAACAAAGTTTTTCATCTATTAAAATGAAGGAAAGTTGCAGAAGACATAAAACTTCCATAACCTTTAGTTTCGGAGATATAGGGTGTATTGAAAAATATGATGTCAAAATTCTTATTTCTTAACTTTTTTGTATATTTTCATATGTTTGCTCTGGTTTCTGCATTTATTCCAACGAAAACAAACTAGGTGCGAATTTTCATTGAACTGTTTGTGGAATTTATAGTGGTTTTAGTGAAATATTCTCGAAAAACATGATATTTTGCCTCTATTTTAGGTGGGTGGGATTCTCGAAAGGGCAGCTAAGGGCAGCTGGACTTTGTCTCTTTTGCTAGCTCATGTCATTGTCTAACATATACCAGAAAACTGAAGACATGGTATTCGATGATTTTTTTTAATTTCACTTTATATATACCGATAAAAACATCCTTTACATTGAAATGAACTGTTTCACATAATGAAAAACATTATATAAATTTTTGACATGTCACCATTTTTAAATGCTGTGCTGAATTTTGAGATTGTTTACTTATTATGAGCTGCCAGCGAACCAGGGGCCTGGCTGGTGGCCATGTTTTTGATGCTATCATCTGTTTTTGACTCTCTGCTTACTACACGATTATCCGTCCCTTTCCACCATGTATACGTCAGCTCAATCAGCTGCATTACCCAGGTAAAGTTGAAAAATCATAAATTTTGAGCCATCGGACGGAACATGAGGTTTTTGAAGTGTCCATTTGAGCCCTATCGGAACCGGTGCCAGCCCAGGTAACAATTTGGGTTTTATGAAGGTTCTGTAGACCATGATTTGGACTTGTAGAATGCTTTAAAACCTTGATAAAACTTGCAATGGTACTTGGGAGGTATCCTGAATGACCACATTGGAAAAATCCTGCACAGGGTGTCCTAGAATGGCCTTTATCATTCTTTTGAGATCAAGAATCGGTTCAAAAATGGAATTTTGGTACCGAGTTGCAGCCTGGGTCACTTGTTTTACAGCGCCACTTCTAGAGGACGCTCAACGCTTCTTTTGACATCATAATGATTGCTTCCGACAGTTAGGAAAAGCGAATAAATTTCAGGTTTCTATCATATTTCATTACAAAGTAACAGCTTTTATTAAGTGACGCTGGGTCAAAAAAGACCCTAATGCACTAGGAAGGTTAAAAACTTGGTCAACAGCAGAAACCTTCTATCAAGGCAAGCTGTCATGGGAAACAAAAAAACTCGAAACAACGTAAAGCAACAGTGCGCTGATGAGTAAATTCCACAGTTTAGCGCTATCGAATAGGTCTAGTATATCTGAACAACTTTACCGAAGACAGGAGCCTTCTATCTAGTCAAGATGTTAAGTTAGGGCAAACAATTCAATATGAATGTCACACGAGCGCCACCTGCTGAGTGAATTCTGTTTAGAACTTTTTACCACAACATAGGCCTTGCGTATCTGAACAACATTGCTGAAGACGGAAACCTTCTATCTAGTCAAGATGGTAAATGTCACGCTAGCGTCAACTGATGTGTAAATTGTGAACTAAACTCATTACCTTAGGATAGATCTTGTCCATCTGAACAACTTTACCCAAGACGGTAACCTTCTATCTAGTACATATGTTAAGTTGGGGCAAACAATTCAATATGAATGTCACACTAGCGCTGGCTTGTGAGTGAATTCAGATCTAAACTCTTTACTTTAGGATAATTCTTGTCCATCTTTTCTGAAGACGAGAACCCTCTATATGAGCAGGTTCTGTAGATAGCGCTATATATTTTTGCATTTTCATCTTAGCGCCATCTAGTGAGTATATTATGTCATAAACTATCCATAGTTTTGCAGTTCTTCTATTCCTACACTCTGAAAAAATTTCACGTCCGATTGACGTGAAAACATAGGCGGTTCTCGTCCACCCTATTTTTCACGTAACTTTTACCGTAATTGCACGTATCCGATAAAATTCAGCTTCACTTATCTACGTGATTAGTCAGGTAACTAAGACCTGATTTCCACGTACAGCTTACGTGAAATTGGGGTAAAAACTACTGGACATCTGGTAACTTTTACGTGACATTCCGTTTTGTTTAAAATGCTTTTAATGTAATCTGTACGCGAATTTTTAATGAGAATAATAGAAAGTATATATAGAAGCAGTCAATATTATGCAATTTTATTGGGAAGATATAAATTTTACGTGTTTAAATTAATACTTATATCTACTCATAAAATTGTAAAATATTGACTAGATGATTATTATAAGGTAGAAACGTGTATGCTTTTTTTAATTTCTGACAAAATATGAACACCTGTTTGCAGACTCAAAATGCTTATGTCACCGTCTGAAATTATAAAACTTGAAAAAGGCTACATATAATCATAAATAAATTAATGTAAAATAATCTAATAACCGTCCAACATTTGCAGCAAGCACTGAGGAATTTTGAATCTTTGAAGAGTTCTTCCACGACGTTCGGTGACGCCATATTGATTTTTTTGCATACCTAAAAATTACGTAAATCTCGTTTGACGTAAATATCGCCAAACACACAAACACAAATGGACTAAACCTGTTTACGTGAATATACGGTCAATTTCACCAACATTTTTAGTGGACATGACGTGTAATGCAGGTCAAAGTTACTAACGTCACGTAACATTTGAGATTTTTTAAATACAGGTCAGGTACGTGATATTTCACGTAAATCAGACGTGAAGATTTTTTAGAGTGTACATATCTTGGCAGAATGAAGGAACATCCTCTATGCTTTGGATCTCGTGATATAAAAATCTCAAACATCAAAACATGCCACTTCATGGGTATATTTTTACAATGACCCCTTCCCATGAGAGATCCGCCCTAAAAAAAAAAAAATTGAAAATTTAAACACTAAATTCACTTTACAAATCATTTGAAATTTAAGAAAACCCATAAAAAATCGTAAAGATACGACATTATGAATTTGGTGTCAAATTGGAGCAGACTTCACCTAGTATTACATTGCTCCGGTGGCCACACCTAGTCACAAAATAATTAGTAAAATCCATCGACAAATAGAAAAGTAACAGTCTTTCAAAGTGGCCTGGGATCAAATTGACCCCAAGGTATACATAAAAGGGTTAAGGGTATCCCAAAAGTGGTATACATAGAATTTTGAAAGCTCTTAGGTACAAACACATCATTGGAATACCAGAGCATGATTCTACGGAAATTCTCAAAAAAGAATCCAAATATATCCAATGAAGAGCTATCTTCTAGAAATGTAGAAATTATCAACATAGGTAATTCAGACATTGTAAATTTGCAGGATTGGGTAAGCACCTAGCTTTTTTTCTGTAACTGAATTCTAAAACTTCGAACAGTTGATAAGATTCTGGATGTTTGGCACCCATTTGACAGCTCGCACTGGCTCCCAACTTGGAAGTCCCAAGTGACAAGCACATTGAGTGAGTCCGCAGTACGCAGGAATCTATCGAAGTTTGTGTTAATTTTGATTAGCCTCATAAATTTGACAGAGTTTAATGAGGGGTCGTGGATTTTCGTATGCTTCGAGGGGTGCTTCAATTGGGTTCTCTAGGGGTATTGAGTTAAATGCATAGTCGTAATCGGCAATAAAAATTAAACCGAAATCCAAATTTTATAAATTTTGATGCACCAGAACTATTTTAAACAAGTGCGATTACATTAGCAAAAATAACCATCATGGTGCCCCCTTAGGTGGGCTTTTGTATGGGAGCGAGCTGTCAATTAGTTAGTTTAGTGGCAAACAGTGAAGTTATGATTTTGCTTAAACTCTTAATGAAATCGAGATAAAAGTGTTTGGGATCGAAAAAATATCATTGTGTTCAGAAAACGAAGGTCTTTCAGGTTAATGAACCATAGGTTAAGGACCGACCACACATATTGATCATGTTTCCTTGGGACCTAGTGTTAAGTCTTAGTGTTAGCATAGAGCTAACTCTAAGACTAGAAGGTCCCGAAGAAACGTGCTCAACTTTTTGGCTCAGCTCTGGTACTCTCTTCGGTCCCAAGCTAATCGATTCACCCCTCGAAACATAGGAAAATCCACAAACCCCTCATTTTATCTGTCAAAATTTCATAGTGAATCAAAACAAACATGGTGTAGTAATAGAATTTCGACTAAAATTGAGTACGTTAATCGACTTGCTTGGGACCAATAGGCTAGTCAAGTAGTGAGGCAATTTAAAATCGTTAGTTTCGTATTGATTGTTGGCAGTACTTCGTTTAATGTAGTTTGACGATTGTAGTACTAAATTAAAGGCGTACTACCAACCGGTGAAAACTAACGATTTTAATTTGGCTCACTACTTGACTAGCCTATTGGTCCCAAGTACATCTATAAGCGTACCCCATTCTAGTCGAAATTCCAGTACTACACTATGTTTGTTTTGATTCGCTATGAAAGTTTGACAGATAAAATGAGGGATCCGTGGCTTGACATATGTTTCGAGGGGTGCATCGATTAGCTTGGGACCGAAGATAGTACCAGAGCTGAGCCAAAAAGTTGAGCTCGTTTCTTCGAGACCTTCTGGTCTTAGAGCTACCTCTATGATTGTACCAATCCAAACAAACATAGTGTAATACTAGAATTTTGACTAGAATGGGGAAAGTTAATCGATTTGCTTGGGACCAATAGGCTAGTCAAGTAGTGAGCCAATTTAAAATCGTTAGTTTCGTATTGATTGTTGGTACTACTGCTATACGCATATAATCTAGTACCACATTCGACGTACTGTAAATAAAGACGTAAACCATTAGTACCATCGTGTCAGTCGATGGCATAACACAGAATATCAGCACCATTCTAGTACTTCCTTAAAGTTTGCCCCCCTCTCGTTGTAATCCTGATTCCTTTCAGCAGGTGAGTAAACCAAAGGCGGAATCCAAGCGAAAACTGGAGAATGTGCTATCCGAGACGACAAGGATACGAATCGCGAAGAGCAGAACGCAGCACCACAGCAGGAAAAAGATGACAGATCTAAATTTGTTAAACGTAAGTAAAACGACAGCTAGCGAACAGTAAACAGCAATGTCTCTAAAGAAAGGTAGCTATAAAGGTGTGAACAGGATGGTAGAGGAAATCAGCATGTTTTGTTGTTGTTTGCTTTGCGGTATTGCGGCACAAGAACAGTGTGTGTGTGAGAGAGAGATAGAGAAATAATATCTAAGCTTACCTCTGGTCGGCGTGGTGGCAGCTGCCATTTTGATTTTCATTTTTGACGTGCAGTAGTAGATTGGTAAACGAACACACAAACACACACACATAGCAAGCGCGTTGTTTGTTCGTCGGTTTTTACACGGATTTTCGAGAACATTTTGAATGTTTTTTGACATTTTATGTGCATCGATAGAGAGATAACCACATCCATAACCATAAAGAGTGTTTCAGTTTAAGGTGTTGTTCAGAAGGGATAGAGTTAAGTAGTAGTAGTAGTGAAAGTGGTGAGGTGTAGTAGTAGTAGTTGATGTGTGTGTGTGTGTGAATGCAATTGTAGCACGGTGTGGTTTTGTTTGTAAGTTTTTTTTAGATTTTGGTGACGGCAGCGTGTTTCCAGTTTTTGGTAGTTTGTAGGTTGGTTGATTCATTCCATCATCATCGTCATCATCACCCGAGCGATCGATCCCAAACGAGTAACACGATTTGGTTTTTGGATACAATAGTACATTTACCGAATAACGATACATAGATACATAGAAAAAAAAAGAAAGAAAAAGAAACAAATTGTTCACCGAAACCAATTGTTTACTTAGACAATTTTTATCAAATTCTACGAAATTGACTTGGATTTTGACTTGTTGGGGTGGGAATTCCCTTAACCAGAACTAAATAAAAAAAATATCTATCTGTACATACATTGATTGCGGCGCAGTCGGCGTCGAAAGGGTTACTTGTGCTATTGTTTTAAGAGGCTGGTGCTAGTCACATGGCGGTACCAAATATGAGTATTTGTACAAAATCCCGTTTGCGTGTGCTTTTTGGTTAGGGATTGTGCAATTGTGCGTTCAGCTGTTTTTTTTTTCTAAAGCCAATCAAGAGTAACAGGGGGCGAGTTTTGTTTGTCTTTGTGATGATGGAATAGTGTTTTCTGTTTTGTGACTTGATTTGCTATTGGTATTGCGGTAAGAGAGTTGAACATCAAAATCTACTACAACTATCGAAATTCTATTAACAGTTTGGAAGCGATAGTTTGGAAATGGGAAACGGAAATTTAAGAAATTTAGACTGTTTTCTATAGAAACATAAGAACATCGATAGCGTGAACATTGGAACTTGGTTGTTGAGCTATATTGAACAACGAACAGATAACACAAACGAACGCTCCAAATTGGACTAGTACTGTGGTCAGAGAGTTAAACAGGACGTGCTTGAGTTCCATTTAATCGCGCAAAGCTTTATGTAACTATAGAGGATTCCTAGAGATTTGGTTCAGGGGTAATTCACGAGTAGTACAACGGGGGGCGGGAGGCGATTTAGTGCCAATTATGTCGGGCAAAAGCGCAGCAAACCGTGTACTTACCATTGGTTTGAAGATGTTCTGGGAATTTCGTGGCGGTTGCTGGGGCGTTTGTTGCTGGGACGATGGCTGCTGGGACTGTTGCTGGGAGGACGAACCGCTGCCGGAACGGGGCGTCGGAGGCAGCGGCCGGTTGGCGTTGGCATTGGCCGGCGGATCCGGTACCACTATTAGACGCTGAGGTAGTGCTGGCCGCGAGGGTGGACCCGGTTCCTCCACCGGTTGCTGTTTACTCCGCTCGTCGCGCTGCGATTACGGGAGCAAGGGAGAGGTTTAGTCAAGATAGGTATGGTGGGAAAATTGGAGAACAGGGATGCCAGATACAGATTGACATTTTAGTTGAAGATTCTCTCAATAGGTGAAATCCCGGAAACATTATTTTGGTATTCTTCTTAGAAGCAAAGACTTAGATTTCACATGAACGTCTACTGCCCTGTGCGGCATAACAGTCCCATTAGCATGTTTGGCGAAAATGAGTTATACATTGGAATCGATTGTCAAGTACCATCACTATACAATGTACACGAAAAGTTTTCTACTTTGTTCAGAATATGTTGCGAAAAATACTAAAACTATGTTGTCCCATCCATAGGAGCCCATGGAGCAAAAATATTCAACAGCGTTTTAACGAATGGGACAACTATGCTGAAAAGCGCAGTCTACTTCTCATCTACTCTAAATTTTCTACGCGTTTTCCTTAGAATTCCCTTGGAATAATCCTGGGGGTGTGGCACATCCAAATCTAAATTTTGGATGGTCAGAAAATTTCATGTTATCTAAATTCATCTACTCGCATCACTCTCCAACTTTTTGCAGAAAATCTTTAAAATTTCCATAAATCTTCTTTCTATCTACTAAGCGTTTACGCATCTCCAAACAGCAAAGCGATTTTTTTCCTGCATCTTAGATAGAGTCGCCCCCCTCGGAATAATCCGTAGAGTTCCTTTTATTTTATTTAGCCTCAATATTCCTAAAGAACCCTTAACAAAATTCACTAGATAATTCTACAAAATGTCAGAACCATGAATTTGTTTTCCAAATCCAAGAGCCTCTAAATTTTTTAATCTCATTCAGATAGGGGATTGTGGGGAAAGATGGCATCTAGAGTGTTCCTGAGGGGCCGTTTGATGTTGTTTTCGTGTGTTCCTAAGGTGTTCTGTGGAATTGTTTTGCATTGTTATTAATCGTACCCTAAACTGCCAAAAATAGTATATCAGTCCCATTGTTGCTTGATGTCCTATCCATATGGGACTGTTGTGCGATTATGGGTAGTATACTAGGCATATCTTCGATGCCTATATACCAGGATGGCCGTCTTGCCCCACTTTCCCCTAATCCCATAATATCTGTTTTTAAATCTGGAACCGTCTAAAATTTTCCTAGCCTTATAATCTAATCTTCGTTCCAGAGTCTTGAAAATTTCTAATATTTCGAATTATATTTTAAAATTTATGTTTCAAAACTAATGAAGACAGCAGATTGCAACAATTTGTCCCTGGATCTATTTTTTTTTAGAAATTGAACATTTCCAAGATGGTCTAGATGATTCTTCACACGTGAGCGAATTTTCAGTCGAGAGATTCACCCATTTGATCTCAATTCTTACCAAGCAAATGAACTAAAGCTGCTCAAATTAATCCTTCCAGTTGGAATGGAAGGAAACTTTTGCAAAAATTTACTATGGTCCTTTTGGCAAACCTTATGAAATTTCGCGAACTTTTCTATTATCAGCAACTGATTCTATCACTGACCTAAGAACGACACAATCGCTATCAGTTTCGAGGCAACGTGCAATTCACAAGCTTGGAAAAACATACATTGCTGAGGCAATCTTCCGAGAACCAGTTAATTTGTTTCTGTGGTACACGGTCGTTCAGACCAACTCAACATTGAGTCGAGTCGACTCAATTTCGACAAAAGTGGATTTACTCAAAAGTGAGTGGAATTTTCCGGGCAAAAGCCGTGGAAACACAGGAAAAGCTTCTCGAATATGAGGAATATCCATGAAAATTTTACCCAGTCTAGGAGTATACTAATAGATCATCTATCGATCATAATAAGTTAGGCCTATTCAGCACGGCGTGTGAGGTGACAGTGAAGTGATTCTCCATTTGATTTACATTGGAATTTTTAATTCGAGTTGCTTTTAATTTTTCATCCGGCTTCTTCCGTAATTTGATCTAGAAGATATATGCAAATTCTTCCACAAGTCTTTTAAACATTTCCTAGAAATTTTCGTCTGATTCCATCGGAAGCTTCTTCCAGAAGTACTTCCGATTTCCACGATAGGTTATTTTGCCTTCCGCTGGTAGGTTCATCCAACTTCTTCAGGAAGCTTCTTAAAACATTCATTGAAGTTTTGTATTCAATCAATCTAAGGAAAACAACTGATTTTCTTAAATTTTGGATTGCTTTTCCTAATATGTTTAGAAAAATTAAAACGTACCAAAAAACATCCGAATTTTAGCTATTTTCAAGAACTCTCGAAACTTGCAAAACTCTTGCAACTCTAAAACGCTCAAAACTTGGTTCGACACTTAAACCACTTGGTATTGACGGGACTCGAGCTGCTCTAATTTCATCGATACAGCTATCGAAGAAATTAGAGCAGCTCGAGTCCCGTCAATTCCAAGAGGTTTAAGTGTCGATAAAAGTTTTGTAAATGTCTAGACATGTAAACACTTTCGAGACTCCAGGCATCCGTGGCAGTTTGAGAAATTCAAATTCTTCTAGACATCCAGGAACACCAGACGCTTTCCAAGCTTTGAAAATTCTCCAAAACTCCAGGAACTGGCTGAACTCCTGGAACACACAAAACCTCTAAGTCCAAAATTCCTAGAAGTTCCTGCCACTTTCAAAAGAGTTTGCTTACTCCATAATTTCACGAAGATCCAGAAATTTCATTAGTTTTTGAAGTTAAAAGTGTTCTCAAAGTACTCGGAATACCATAATTTCCTAATAATTTGATAGTTGCCCAGGATTCTCAAGCTCTCATATTTGTGAAATTTCTTGTAAATTTCACTGAGTTGCATCAGTTCTAAGAGTACCGGAAGTTTTTGGAATTCCTGACAATTGTCCAGACACAATTTTTAAAGTTTGTATTGGCCGTAATTGCCAACCCCCCTTCCCCCTTAAACTGTCTACAATGAACAGCACCAGGAGTTATGAGAGAGCAACTTGAGTTCCTGGAGCTCTCAGGGAACATTTCTAATAGTTCAGCGAGTTTCTTTGATTTCAAACATTCCGGCAAAGTTCTGCTTGGCGTTCACCAATTAAAATTTCATGGACATTTGAACGAAGTCGGTAATGGTGACCAGTAAATTCCGATTAGCAATTTCCCGGAATTTTGGTAATTTCGGTTGTGCGATATACATTAAAATTAAGGATAAAACCGAAAGCCGAAGGCACCAATTGGTTACATGGGTCATTACTTAGACAGCAGTATTTTTCCTGGGTCAAATTTGGTTCTACGTTCGAGTTCTTCAAAATTTAAACCTTCTTGAAAATTTACTCAAAACTCTTTACTAGAATATTCTCAAGCATTTCCTTTGGGATCAATTGCCTTCCTAGAGTTTATTTAAATTAAGTTTGAGATTCTCTCTGTGGAAGTCCCTGAAACAAATATTTATAACAGACTGAAAAAATTCCCTGCAGATCAATCCAAATCTTCGAAGCTCCCTTCCATAAATCTATATAAAATTCGCTTGAATTCTTTTTAGAATTCCCTAGCAATTCATCAGAATCGTCGGGTCAGAATTACCATGGGGTTCTCCTATACATAAACTGTTCTGAAATTTACTTAGAAATTTCCTTAAAATGCTCTAGAAATTCGTTTTGTGTTGACCTTGTACTTATCATTGGAATTCATTTGGAATTGTACCATGAAAATTCAATTCCCTTGGTATTCTTCACGTATCCTGGGATCCTCTCCCAATCGACTTGGAATTTTCCACAGAGCTACTTGCAGATTCTACTCTAAAGTCACACAAGTGATTTGGAGTTAGAGTCTAAAATCTCTAAGAGTTATTTCAAAAACTCCCTTTAATTTTGTCTGAAATACTTTGGTGTTATCCCTGATATTTATTCTAAAATCTTCTCGAAATTCCATCGAAAAAAAAAACCTAGTCCAGCCCAGTGTTGGCAAAATCAGCAACCAATTGATATTTTTCCGCTGTCATGCGCTCGCAATTTCACGCGTGATATTGGCACAAAATATCATGCTTGATGATATTGACTTTACAAGCTCCTTTGACATAGCGAGACTATTCACAACGTGCAAAAATCAAGCTGAGAGTTGACTCGACACAAAAATAATTCCGTTGCACATCGTTTTCTTAGAAAGAGAAAGTATAGTTTGCTATCTCTTTTTACTCTTCACCGAAGGCAGACACGAAGTGACTGCTGTTAGCCGTTATGGAAGTTTCGGTTACATTCGGGTGTAAAGAAAAAATCATGAAACTCAATCTCACCACAGTTTGTTGAGATTTGCAGCTGGTGAGTTTTGTTAGCTTGATATTCCGAGCTGCGATATCACAGCTTGCAAAATCAACCCCAGTTGTTTGCTTGTTGATTTTGGTCTACGAAAATCAAGCGTGATCTTGGGCGTTTGTGAGATTAGATTTTTTGATATTTTTCCAGTCAAAGAATCTTAAAATTTTTCAGAGGTTCGAAGTCTTATTTTTTTTTACTGAAAAACAGATTAAGACTCCGAACACGATGCCTCCGGTAAAATGTGTAACGGCAAACTTGCAATGTTTGAAAAATCATAGTTCAGCCATTTATTGGCGAATTTCAAATCTATTCTTAAGGAATCTGATGTTGATAAATTGCTGAGCAATGATTTTTTAAACATTGCCGTAACTCACTTTACCGGAGGCATCGTGTTCGGAGTGTTAAGTATTTTTTTTCTCGATTTGTCATACAAATTCACGGGTTTTTCCCGTTGACTTAGAATTCCCGGTTTTGATTTCCCGGCTCCTTGGTCACCAAGAAATTATCTAAGTACCGGAAAGTACCATCATTTTGCGAGCCTAAGTCCCTAATTTTGCGTAATCCCAAAATTATATTGAATATTGTTGTATTGTTGACTAGTATATGGGGAAAATACATATTTAGAAATTTTCACAATACACTACAACATATAACCAAAATGAGCGGAGTTAGGCACCACACGAAATTATGGCACTTCCCAGTATGCCGAATTTTAAAAGATCTTCAATGCCAAATTTTACAATCCAATGGAAAAATCTGGCAAACTGAAGAATATTCCACAAAACTGGCATGCCTGTATTGTATCTTACACCACGTAAAACAAACATACCGCTGGTGGTTTCTGGTTTCGGTTCGCATTAGGCGGCGGTTGTGGCTGCTGCTGCTGTTGCTGTTGCTGTTCGGCATTCTGCATCAACGTCCGGCCCTCCTGGATCTGCTGAAAGTTTCGCCGCAGCGTGTCGCCACCGGGAGCCTGAATGATGGACGATGGTTCACCGGCCGTTGGCAGTTCCTCTTCTTCATTCTCCGAACCCGAGTACCGGTAGTCGTCCCGTTCCTTCTCCTGCTTGCGTTTCTTACACCTGGAAGAGATCGAATTTTTTTTAAAGTAATCCTTGCTGTAATCCGGCTCTTAAAATCGTACCTATCGATATGGTCTTTCAGCTGTATCCGCACCTGCCGTTCCGTCGGTTGTTCCTTGATGAACGGATGCTTCAGTAACTGTTCCGTGTAAGGCCGTTGATGATAGTCTTTCACTGTGAAAGAGATAAGCGAATTGATCGATTTTAATTAAGTTAGAAACTTCAGTTATTCTAATTAATGTATGGTGACAGAATACAGAGACGGTAACATCGAGCGAAGTGGCAGATAATTTTAATTAGAAGCGATCTTCCCCCTTTAGGTGGAAAATGCAGCAGCAGCAGCATGGTCCCAGTGGGAAAAGTTGAACGAGGCCACCCGCACACCGACGCCGAAGACGACGGTGGTGGGTGAAGCAGCCGTTACGAAAAAATTAAAAAGTTTTACATCGGTTTCTAGAACAGAACAAGGGTCGGCCGGCGACACCAACCTGGAGATGTGTTTAGTTTACATTTAAGGCAGGTAGGTGGGTAGGTGTATGAGCAGAGTAGATCTCGTACTAACATCAGCTTGAGTGCACTGCTACTGATAAAAGGTTATTGCTGTAAATTTGTGATGCAACTTTGTCTTGTGCTTCCGCTGGCTGGCGAAAAGATGATGATGGTGGAATACAAAGTAAATGTTGAGCTTCCTGGGGTTGAAAATTACAAAATTTATCATGTTACCGTTGAAGTTTGCTTGCCGATATTGGAGGCAAAATTTGAAATTTTGTCGAATTCAAAATAAAGGTCCACGAAAAAGCTACTACGTCAAGAATTTAGCCTTTGTAATCAAGACTAGAGCGTAACATTCTTGACATTTAAGGCTGAATGCGCCGTACCATTCAATCGGTTTCCCTAACCTCACGTTTATGTCCCACGAGGCAGCCCAAGCCGTTTGCTTTCGCTCTATCTCTTGGAAACCCGACTAAAACACAGCAAGCTTTTGCCCTAAAAATTTGCAGCCATTTCATTGCGACTGAAATAATTCACATAGATGTTATCACAACCATTTTGCGACAAGTGTGCTACCAGGAATAGATTCGTAGATTTTCATTTCGTTAAAAAAAAAAAACAAATGGCACATCATGGTGTAAAGTGATGAATTGTTGATGTCATATATGCAGGGCTTTTCAATTTCAGCATTCAATGCTGCCAAAAATAATGACCATGTTGAAGAAATGAAATAAGTGACCAAATAGTGACTTATAGTTGTAAAAAACGTGACCTACGAGAAAAAGAGTAGTCGCAGGGTTTTGGAAAATATCAAAACATCAAATCTCACCAATGCCCACGATTACGCTTGATTTTCGTAGACAAAAATCAACAAGCAAGCGACTGCGGACGATATTTTAGGCTGTGATATCGAAGCTATGAATATCGAACTAACAAAAATCACCTGCTACAGTTCTAACCAAACCGTGGTGAGTTTGAGTTTCATGATTTTTGTTTTACATCCGAACGCAACCCAAAACTATCGGCAGCAGTGTCTACCATCGGTTAAGATTAAAGAGAGATAGCAAACTATACCTTCTCTTTCTAAGAAAACTACAAGGAACAGCCCTATGGGGTTGTACGCAATGGTGACGTAGAACTACGTTGTCTGTATAATAAATCTTATTTGGTAGCTGCACCAGGAGCTTTAGTTTTGTGTAGGAATAGGAATTTGAGCGGGGTTATATCTGTTTATACTCTTTAGTATGACGCGCTTGATATAGATGGGCCACAGCAACTCACGAAGAGCTTCTGATTTCGATCAATAGCGGTGTGACTTCTTCCTCCTTCTATGGATGCTCATGTGGGCTGCTGCTCGCTGCTTGCATGCAGCCTTTCGTTGTGTACTGGAGAACACCACCACTAACCACGCGGTGATTGAAAAAAAAAACCGTTTGGTGAGAGCGGATGGAATTCAACTTTGAAATCTGTGTTAGGGAAATCGCTTTACGCAGGGAATCGGCGATAATTTTAATTATCATAGCAACAGTTACACATCCGTGCAATTTCAATAGTGACATTTTGAAAAATGATTAAGTCTTAATTTTAACAGATTCGTAGAAAAAAATCCTATCGATTGGCGTATTAAGAGTTAAAATCCATCATCTCTGGATCAAAATCAGACCACTTTCATGCCACGACCGACTTTGGTTTTTGAAATCGCACCCGCAATGTTGCCTTTAAGTAGATGGTATGTTACATTTAAACATATCTAGATAGAGCTGGAACTGAATCCGATCAGCGGTTGAGATCAGCCTTGGTAGCTAGCTGCTTCCGGGGAGCCTTTCGTTGTGTACTGGAGAACACCACCACTCACCACGCGGTGGCTGAATAAACACCGTTTGGTGAGACCCGATGGAATTCAACTTTGAAATCTGTGTTAGAGAATTCGCTTTTCGCAGGCAATCGGTGATAATTTTAGTTATCAAAGCAAAAGTTGCACATTCATGCAATTTTCAATAGTGACATATTGAAAAATGATAAAAACTTAAATTGACCAGATGCGTAGGAATATATCTGATCGATTGGTGATAAAATTATTTAAATTGGTCCAGGTAAAACTGAGTTATTAACGTTCAAAATCTTTCATAATTTTGTTACATGTTCCATTTTCGGTTTTCACAAAGTGTACCCCCATATAGAAATTACAGACGTAGTCCTACGTCAAAACAATGTGCAGCGGAATCATTTTTGTGGCGAGTCAACTCTTAGCTTAATTTGTACATGTTGTGAATAGTCTTGCAATATCAAAGGAGCTGGCGTGGCAAAATCAATATCAAGCATGATATTTTTGTTCCAATATCACGCGTGGTATTGAGAGTGTGTGAGAGCGGAAAAATGTCATTTGATTGAGGATTTTGCCAACACTGTCCTGATGGCACACCAAATAAATGTTTGACGTTGGACATTTTTTAAAGAATACTTAGGGGGTGAGGTGCTAAAAGGAGGATTACAATTAAATCTGAGAATAAATCCAGGAAATTCTCAAACGAATTTCGAAAAAAAAATCCAGGGGAGTTTGCCAAACAAATTATGAGGACAAATCAAAAGAATTTGTGAGGAGAAATGCAAATGAATTCTTGGGAAACTTTCAATGTGAGTAGAATTCCAGGGAAAGGAGTGAGATTCAAAATGAAATCTGAAATTAATTCAATTAAAATTCTGAGAATCATTCCCAAGGGTTTCTTACTGAGGAGAATTTCAAAGAACATTGAATTCGGAGGATAGTTCCTACGAAATGTTGCGGAATATATCAATGGAATTGGGAGAAGTGTTCTAATTACATTCTGGTAATATTTTGTATTTTTGAAATTCCAGATATTTTATGTTTTTGAAATTCCAGATTTTACATGTAAACTTTATGTCAATCTAAAAACATGTAAGTTTACAGGGGAAAACGTGTGAATCTACATCATTTAACAAAAAAAATTACAGGATGCAAATGATTATTATGTAATTTTACATGACTTGCATGTAACCTAACATCACAAGCTTGCACATACCAAAAGCTGTAAAATTAGATGTATAGTTTCATTGCATGCTCAATTTTCTATCGATAGCACCTTGGGTATGAATCTAATGGCTCCAAGTCCCTAAGTGAATGTTCGAAACCACTGTAAACTCATGCACATTCCACTGAATTCCCAATTTTGTCTTGGAATTTCCGACTTTTCCCGCTTTTCCCGAATGGGTGGCCATCCTGCTCATTCCACTTATCTATCTATCTATGTATCTATCTATATATATAAAAATGAATTTCTGTCTGTCTGTCTGTCTGACCCTTATAGACTCGAAAACTACTGAACCGATTGGCGTGAAAATTTGTATACAGGGGTTTTTGGGGCCGTGGAAGGTTCTTATGATGGTTCAAGACCCCTCCCCCTTCTGTAAGGGGGGGGCTCCCATACAAATGAAACAGAAATATCTGCATAACTCGAGAACTAATCAAGCAAATGGAACCAAATTAGGCATGTGGGGGCGAGTGTGGGGGTATAAGGAGATAATCATAGGGTAGCCCCTTAGATAATAGGGGGGGGGGCTAAGTACAATATAGCATGCTTTTTTTTTAAATCGGCGCATAAACTCAAGCTAATATTGAATCCCGAGCAAGACCGAGCACACTCAGCTAGTATATTATAAATTTTCAAACGGAGAATGTCATTCAAGCACTTGTTTGAAGCACGTCAGGAGTTTGAAGTTGTAATGTGTGGTCTGCTGTAAAGTGGACCCTACATGATTGCTTTTATTGACTATAACCGTATTGACAATACATTCTATATTGACGTCAATACATCGGTATTGACAATATTTATGTATTTACATCACCAATATTGTTGTCAATAATTCCCTTTCACGCCAATATATTGAAACGTGTGGGGTTCACTTAAGGAGTTATTATTTTGTTTTAAATCAATAATTCACGATGGAAGCGCCTGGAGGATGGTTACTGCAATGACACTTTCCTCAAAGTTAAACACCTTAGTAAGCACGTTCAAATTGCTTACAGAAAACATTTAGGGGGGAAGTACAGAAAACTGCTGGGACAATCTCAATGAACATCCAAGACAGATTTCTAAAGTACTTCCAGTGAACATACAGTACTACGAGACTCCTAGGATAAGTATAGAGGTCATGTGGACATTTAAGAGAAGTTTGGAGATCGGCATATCACTCAACATAAAGCAAACCAATTATCTTACAAGACCTTGGATAATCTCTGAAGGTGTTCAAAGAGAAAATTGCACTTGCGTTGAAAGGTTTCTGGAATCAGTGGGATTTGTAAGGTAAGTGTATGAACCTTACCACAGGCAACAAATGCCAATATTTGCCGACATCTTTCGAGATCTTTTTCTAACTACCTCTGGAATCGATCAGCTGATGTAAGCTGATTACACCAATTTAAACGAAAGATATCTGTTTCCCTCATGGGCATACATCTGATGTAATAAAATGAACCCTTACAGCTTCCGACCGATTAAGTACGCAAAGCATCAGTTATGATACAACAGCGCGTAAAAATTCAGCTCATTCAAGCCCTCCGCGTCAAACCCCAATCAATTTATCGATCATCTTCATCTTCATCCTCTGCTGCTGCCGCTCGCTGCCCGCTTTGTACCCATCAGCTTAAACGCCGACTCGAGCGCACAGTTGGCAATCAATAACATGCCCATGTTCCCCCCATATGATTAATGATTATTCAATGATTTAAATTGCGAAGCTCTCTCGCTTGGGGTGGGAGTGACTATCAGCCACCTGAAGGGAACCAGAACCTACCTAGCACCGTATCGATGAATCCGTGGAACTTTTTGGACCACTTTTTCGATTTCAGTCGCGGCGGTGGATTCCGGGGAATGAGGAACAGTGCCCGCATCGGGTGCAGGTCACACAGGGGTGGCTGCGATTCGGCCATCTCCAGGGCGGTGATGCCGAGGGACCACAGATCGGACCGGTTGTCGTAGGTGGCGTCTCGGTTTTCGTCGCATGCAATGACCTCCGGTGCCATCCAGTAGGGCGTACCGATGAAGGTGTTCCGCCGGCCGATGGTTTTGTCCAACTGTGCCGACACACCGAAATCCACCAATTTGACCTCGGCGTTGTCCGTGAGCAGCACGTTCTGGCCTTTGATGTCCCGGTGTATCACTTTGTTCGTGTGCAGGTAGCTCAACCCCCGTAGGATCTCCCGGCAGATATAGGCGATCCATTCCTCTTTGAGGCTCTGGCCTTTGGTAGATTTGACCAGATCGGTAACGGAACCGGCCCCGCAGTACTCCATCACCAGCCACAGCTGGTCGTCCTTTCCGGCCGAGGTTTTCTTGATAAATGCACCATAGTACGTGGCAATGTTCCGGTGGTTGGAGTACTTTTTGAGCACGTTGATCTCAAGTTTGATTTCCTCCTCCTCCTCTTCGGTGACGTCCATCACCTTAATGGCAGCGAGTTGTCCAGTCTTTGTGTGGCGACCCTGTTAGAAGAGGAAAGAAAATAGACCAGAATTAGTGAATCAGTTTGCAACCACAGTCTGAATTTGATTTTGCGGTTGCTGCGGATTTACAGTGGAATGCAAACGAATCGCAATTGCCATCAACCGCAGTGAGGAAAATTTCTCCCACTGCACTCGACGACCTCGTCATTGTCATTATTGTTCGCATTTGAGAAATGCCGTATCCACCCATCCATCATCATCACCCAGCAACAATGCACTTTGGAACAATTGTGGTTTTAGCTCCGGTGAATCTTCCCACAATCTAAAACTATAACTAAATGGAAAAGCGTCCCAGGCGTCGTGGTGCCGTGTGTTTGGATGAAAGCGAAAGGAAAGCTCCTCGGTCGGTCGGTATCTGTCTATTTACTGTTTAGCAACGGGTCCGACCGACTAACTAATCATCTTCTCGCTGGTTCGCGCTCGAGTCTACGGGTGTTATTACTTTGTTATTATATTCCATTAACTAAATGGTAATAAAAAGTTTTCACTTTTCTTCTCGTCCGGGGGAGGCCCATCTAGCTGACTTCTTCTGGCTAACATTAAGAGATCGATAACAGCGCGCGGCCGTGGTCAGGTTAGGGAGATCCGCAATAAGTAGTCCGCGCGCTGCAATTCGTTTCTTTTATCTTCATTCGTCTATCAGTAGGCAAAAGTGATTAGCCGGAGCTGCGCAGTGGTGAGGTGAGTCATGAAAGCATTCAATTAAGATACGGCGGCTCACGTAATCTATCCAGGCAACGAACGGACGGCGCAGTGGAATAGGGAAAAAAAAGGTGGTTTGTTTACAGTGTGGAAATGTTGTACGCGCAAAAACCGGAGCGATAGTATTAGGAGACAATGGATACCCTAAATGATAGGTCGGATTTGACTGCGAAAATAGAAGGAAAGCGAATTTAAAGGTTTTGGAAATTATAGGTTTCTATATGCAATAAAGCTGAGATGATTAAGTTCAATATCCATTTCCATTGCAAGACAATTCAAGGCCGAGGTAATGCATGCAGACTACATCATCGCCATAGAAAATGAATAAAGATAGGTTATGATGGGTAGTTTGTGGTCTTTGCATCGACAAAAATGCAGCAAAATGTTCTAATTCTGTATAAAAGAAAAGTCACCTGGAAAAGGATACGTAAAAACCGTAATCCAGTGCTGTTTTAACGGTAAGATGTTGGTAGGCTGAAGGCAGGGCCCCCAATTTGGCTCATATCCTTCTCAACGATATGATTTGAATGGGCATTGAGTTCTTTTCAACCATTCAAAGATGAAATATTCCCAGCATTACTTCAACAGGGGAAAGAAACACTCAGCTCCCTCCTTATTGAACTATTCGAAGCCAGTGTTACTCTGAGGTACACACCAAAAGCATGGAGAAAGGTTCGAGTTGTTTTCATTCCAAAAGCTAGAAAATGAGATAAAACGACTCCGAAAGCCTTTAGACCCATTAACCCTTTCATCTGTTTGTAAAAGACAATGGAAAAATTCTAGATGACTCCATCAAATCAACAAGTTTAGCGAGGTTACCTTTTAGCAAATTCCAATTAGCTTATCAATCAGGTAAATCTACGATAACGGCTCTTCAATCGCTAGTTATTAAAATCGGGAAATCGCTTAAAGCCAAGGAAATAGCCGTGGTAACTTTTCTCGATATTGAATGTGCTTTCGACAATGCATCCTACAGCTCCATGCGTTCAGCTATGGAAGCAAAGGCAGGGTGGCCAGTGAATTTTCATTTTAAAATTCCCGGTTATTTCCCGGTTTTCCCGGTTCAAATCTTAAAAAATTACCGGTTATTAATATTCAACAAAAAACGATATTGAACGTACTTTTAAAAGGGCGGCCAACTGTAACTTTTCGGTAGTTATTTGTGGAAAAAATAAAAGCAAAATTACAGAAAGTTTTTTTTTTAATCTGAAAGTAAAAATTGAACTCTATGAGTCACTTAATGTATTCGAAACAAATCATTAATCTTCCGAGAAACTTTGAAAACTCACACTTTTTTAAGCTTGATACATCTTATGATTTCAAAGCCCTAGAATTTATTCTGTAACAGAGATTAAAGTCACTAGGCCAAATGCTGTATGGATGAATAGGGTATAAGGGTTGATGCATATATTATGTCACGCTCTAAGGAGGGAGGGGGAGTCTAAGATTTTGTGACAAGCAATACATTAGGTATAGGAAAAACGTCACGATAGGGGGGGGGGTAATTTTTTGCTCGATTTAGCGTTACATAATTAATGCATGGGCTCTAAAACAGAATTCTGAAGAATAAAATATTTAATTAAAAAAAAAATGTTTCAGAAAAAAATAACTTGATACCAATGAGAATTAGAAGAAATTGTTAGGGATATCGGATAAAGAAAATGTGGCTTCACTTCTTTGTCTATACTAACATATATATTAACCTTTCAGTACTCGGGCTGATGTATAAAGCTAAGCACGAAAATAATAATATGTAAAATCTACTGGCATTGGAACTCACTCAACGTGAAACTAAACATGGTTCATGAAATTTAATACCCACATCCAATAGACCAATACTTGAAGAATATTACTGAAGAATAAAAAAGCGATGTACGAAGATTCCCAAGATTGTGGGGCTTTGACATTTGTGTAGAGTCTGAAACTAGAACTTTTCTTCAAAATTTTCGTTTTGTAATATTTGGAGAAAAAATAACAACGATTTTAAAAAAATTTCAAGATCACACTCATACTGGAGTCATAATTGTCAAGGCTCTGAGACTAGGAAGCATTTGAAAGGTTATAACAAATAAAAAAAAACAATCTATATAATCTTGCAGACACACTCTGTAAATTTTAATACAATTTGAAAGTGGTCAACGTGTTCATTTCAAACATATATTGAGGAGGAATCCTATATAATTTTCGAAGGAGAAGTTCTGAGCAGAATTCCAGAATTATTCTGACATGAAGTCCTCAGAAATTGTTAGAAGAATTAGGAGAGATTTCTGTGGAGAAGGATGCTCTAAAAAGTTCTAAATTGAATTCTTAGATAATTCTGGAAGATTTCAAAACCAGTTGTGAAAGAAAACTTTAAAGAAAATTTCTACGTAATTCTTAAGAGATTTTTATGGGGATCTCGAGGAGAATGACATATGAATGAATAAATTAAAAAGAATTTTAATAGAATTATGATGAGGATTCAACAAGAAACAGAGTTCTAAGAGTGTTCTGTTGATAATTTCAACCCCAGTGCGAAAGATTCATCACAGAGCTCTAACAAAATAGATTGCAAAAAAAAAATGTTGATAATTAGAAATAAATTCTTTAAAATACTCCAAGGGCTTTCTAAATAAATATATGCTGTTTTGAATAGAGTTAAAAGAAAATTTTGAAAATAATTTCAAAGCAATCAAAGTCTCCGAATAGGCTCAAGGGAATTCTAAGAAGAATTCTAATCAAATTCTTACAAGGGGTTTCAAGAAAATTCAAAAAAGAATTCAACGGTAATTATTAAGCGGAGTGTTTACTGGTAAATTTCAGAAAAAAATTATGATATATCAGAACAGAATTCCAAGTAAATTCTGGAATTCATATCATGAGAATTTTGAATAAAATTGCATGGTTGATTTCGAAATGAAAACGAAAAATTAAAACCTTGGAAAAGAGTAGTTCAGATTCAGTTTTTACAAATATTTGTTTCCAAAGTCGAGCATCTTCAATATTTTCTTTTAATGCCCTTGCACTTTACACCTGAAATTGAAACGACAAAATTAAAGACGGGAAACTGAAGAAAATTATGCAGCAAATAGAGCTAGACATTCATTTGGTAAATAATCACTCTGTTTTAATGGTTTACTCTGAAATTCTGGTATACAAATTTGTTCCTATGGTATTGTAAATTTATTTTTCCCGGTTCTCTCGTCGAATTCCCGGGTTTTTCCCGGTTACTTTTCAAATTCCGGGATATTTCTCGGTATTCCCGGTTTTCCCGGTTCGCTGGCCACCCTGAAAGGGCTTGGATAACTGCATTGTTAATTAGGTAATGGAAATGAATGCTCACAGATCGAGTTAATAAAGTGGATGATTGAATGGTAACGAAGACAAACTATGATGTTCTCTTCAAAGTGGTTAAATCAAGCCGACCTATATGGGAATCTAGTGAGCCAAATGTACGGTCAGGGTCTATTGTATTTTACACCGACGGGTCAAAAGTCAGAAGTCAGTAAAGTTGTACCAATGGGACATAGTCCCACAGTATTTCAAGCAGAAATTCAAGGAATTATTGAATGTGTGAATATCCTCCTAATAAGGAAATACGGATTTGCTAAGATCTGTATATTCTCGAACAGCCAAGCAGCTGGACCTTATTAACAGTGCTGGTAATGCTGATGCGATATAATAGTAGTGACTTTAGTGACTAAAATTACGGAAATAGTGACCAAATAGTGACTTGTAAATAATCAATAAGTGACCATTTATATGGTAACTTAGAAATTCAAATGCGGTTTGATATTGAAATAAACTTTTTATTTCATGAAACTTGAAATCAAATTTCATAAATTCCTCTAGTTTAATCGAATCTCACAACGGAATCTCCTGTGAAGAGCATTTGAAGTGATTTGAATAATTTACTTTTGCTTACGTTATACATGATGATTAACAAATAACATTTTTTATATTCTTAAATTTGATTCTGCGTTTGAAATCTTCAAAATTTTGATATATCGCTAAGAACTTTTCACATAATTTCTTCAGAATAATCTCAACAACTTATTTAGAATAATTCCCTTTCTCTTAAACTTAGAGGCAAATAAGCTTTCACAAAAATAATATTGCATTCTTAAAATTCTTTGCAGAATAATCAACAACATTCTTGGAAATAGATTATTTTCGTAGTTGGAAATGCTTAACATCAAATATCAGAATTAAAGTGGACATTTTATACGATCGATGACGAGATGAAAGTAAAGAGTTTATAGTTCCGTGATAGTACGGCAGTGTGAAATTTGTATATA